CAGAATGGTGAGAAGAAGAGAAAGTAGAGACAATGAGTCCTAAAACCACTTTCCAGAACCTTGGCTGAGAAAGGGAAGGAAGGGATGTGGTCACCAGCCATGTGTTCTGGTGTAACAGTGAATCATTCCTCACTGGTAAACTCGGTCCTCCACGGACTGACTAGAAATAGTCTCAATCTATTTTTCATTGTCTTCTCCTTGCCTCCTGAACCAGGGGTCTTATTCTTGGGTCTCCCAAGTCTTCTTGTGAGCCAACACAAGTGACTCTCAGATTCTCTTTGCATTTTCTTGTCCGATTACCATAGCCCACAGAGGTGGGAAACTTCTCGGAAACTGTTGCTGTTGCTATGCAGTGCTCCGCTTTCTCCTTGTCCCGTGCAGCCTGTATTTCATTACCTCCTAGCAAAGTCTGTCTCTCTTGCTCATCTACAATTCCTATTAATTCTCACATAATACTTCCAGACCTCGGCCCTCACAGTTTTCCAAGTCAAACCATTCTTGGCTTACAGCGTTAGTAGATGCTAATCTCTCTATTTCCATCTTCCCTTCTTCCTTTTAGTAAAAGAACCTCCAAGTTTTATCTAAGCCTAACTAGAGACTCATTTCTTGGCTTCTCAAGCAGCTAGATATGACCATATGATTACATCTGAACCAAGGGACTCTCACTGCCTCTGGGTGGAGAAAGGTGATGACAGGAACACTCTGAGAAGCCATATATTTGGCATGCCAGAGCTGCCCTATATCCTCAGACTACTCACCTCTAGGCTGTTAAATTCAGATGAATTTAAGTTTTAGGTAAATCGCAGTGTTTTGTTTTAGACTGCACCTTAAGTAATACAATGTCTGTAAACTACGTCTTAGAGGGGCTTCACTACTTCATCTTTCTGGTCTGACATGCACAATTTGTTCTCTGCCTCTTATCAGTCTTCTCTGACTAGAACATTTGAAGATGTTCCTAATTTTGGCCTCACAAGTTTTGGAGAATTTGGGGCAAGAACGAACAGCACCTGGTAGAATTCTTCTGGAAGCTTTGTACCGTTGGAAACAATATAAATATTCTCCATAACCTTCTGGCACTGGCATCGGTTAGCTTGTACCAAATCCAGGCTCTAGCACTGAATAGTAATGCTACTTAACTTTTCATATATA